AAGGTCTTGAACAGGGTATGAAAAGGGTATTGAATGGATGTAAAAGGGTATGAAAAGGGCATGAAAAGAGCATGCTGAACACGGCATGAAAAGGGTATGCTGAACAGAACCTGGACACTGCGGCGATACCTTCGACTTGACTTTGGGCTTGAGCTGACGAGCGCTTGCTGCGATTCCTTCATTGATTGGCATTTTTGGCGTCACGTTCAACTCACTGGAAGGCACAGTGTCAGGGGCAATTTTTTTCAACACTGAGCAGAATCCTGCCGGCAGAATGGTGGGAACAGGTGCTTTGATAAGGGTATGACAAAGATATGAAAAGGGTATGAAAAAGAGTATGTGTGGCGGCGGTGTCGGTGGTGGTGGCGCTGGATTGGGTGCTGGTGCTGGCGGCGGAGCAGGTGGTGAGCGGCGCCTGTGCTGGAGGAGGTGGCAATGGTGGTGGTGGAGGTGGTTTGCAAAAAGTGGTGTTGGCTGCAGCGGTAGGAGGTTGGACTGATGCTGTGGAGCCAGTCTGCCATGAAAGCGCTGAAGGTAAGCGAGTGCCTGTGCGACAGGCATGGGCTGCAGTCTGGGTGTAGAAAGGAGGGCTGCGGTGAAGCGGAGCGTAGTAGTGCATCATTGGTGGTGGTACTGGATATAAGGTAAGTGTGGAGGTGGATAGAGCGGCGCCTGGACGCTGGTGGATGATGTGAAACAACTGGCTGCATAGGCGCAACAGGCTGCAGAGGCAAATGCCATGGGAAGTGCATCGCGGAACGCGAGCCAAGATAGTCGAAGTCGGGACACACTGTGGCTAACGGAAACTCTCGTGAAGTGAAGCGTGATAGAATGGGGTTGAAAATCGGGGTGTAACGTCGATGAATACTTAGCCGCAGGGCCTACATGTGTACAAAGAATACTTAACGCATCTTAACGTGTCATTCTGTGGTGGAACGCAGTGAGCTCTGCAGCTTAAGATCAGCAAGCTCGAGCGCAAAAGGATCATCCAGCATCGATCACGCAAGCGGAGCCTGGGAAGTATCACCTTTGAGGGCCTGTGCAAAAAGCGCCCAAAGCTGGGATCACACAACAGATCTAAGTGTGTACCTGTTGCGGTACACATTTAGATCCATGCTCGCAAGAGCTCTATCAGTTTTGACTTCCACGTGAAGCTAGCACTTTACGTTACTGAAAACTCAAACAGCAAGGGTGCTGGGTCGGCAAAACGAAATTGTTGGAACATCGCGCGTTAGCACTTTACCGAAAATTGGGGTAACCGCTTGGTCAACAGTTCAAGAAGAAGAAAATAAAAGGACCGGATAACCCCACATGATAAGTTTTACAAATTTCAGATGTGTATGAAGCACATGGGAGACGGAGTAGTGAGATGAAAAGTCAAGAACGAAGTGTGAGGAGAGAAGGTATATGAGGCGGCTGTGCTAAGACGTGTAGTATAAGTGATGATGTGATGGACGAGGATGAGAAGGAGGGGAGGGAGGAGGTGTGTGTGCGTGGTAAGATGGCGTACGTGTGTGTGTGGGTGTGTGATAAAGTGTCTGATGATGTGATGAACAAGGATGAGAGGGACGAGAGAGAGAGAGAGAGTGAGTGAGTGAGTGAGTGAGGTGAGTGAGGTGAGTGAGGTGAGTGGAGTGAGTGGAGTGAGTGAGGTGAGTGGAGTGAGTGGAGTGAGTGGAGTGAGTGGAGTGAGTGGAGTGAGTGGTGAGTGAGTGAGTGAGAGTGAGTGAGTGAGTGGTGAGTGAGTGAGTGAGTGGTACAATGCGATTCCGAACCGGCGAGAACCAACACTGTGGAAATCACAGTGGCAGTAGTGCACAGACACAGTGTGCGCACATCCTGGCCGCAGCCATTACAATGCGATTCGCAGCCTGTCACAACCATTGCTTTGCAAATCACAATGGCAGTAACGCACAGAACCGCAGGGGGCCCAGCGGCGACAACGCGCGCTGCAGCCCCTTCTGGAGGCTCTGGGTACTGCGCCTGCCACTGTAGAGAGCGAGGGGGGCCCAGCGGCGACAACGCGCGCCGCAGCCCCTTCTGGAGGCTCTGGGTACTGCGCCTGCCACTGCAGAGAGCGAGGGGGGCCCAGCGGCGACAACGCGCGCCGCAGCCCCTTCTGGAGGCTCTGGTACTGCGCCTGCCACTGCAGAGAGAGAGGGGGGCCCAGCGGCGACAACGCGCGCCGCAGCCCCTTCTGCAGTCTCTGGATGACAGGCTCTGTGAGTGTGAGTGAGTGAGCGAGTGAGTGAGTGACTGAGTGAGTGAGTGAGTGAGTGAGTGACTGGCTCTGGTGAGTGAGTGACTGAGTGAGTGAGTGAGTGACTGAGTCTCTGGAGACTGCTGGGAGTGTG